CAGATAAAGTTATTTCACCATAAATTATTGTGGGTTCGGAAGGATTTTCAAAAATTCAGCATGAAATACACACTGATAAAAGGACACTCAGTGACGGAATGAAATGTAGAGAACGTATGGCAGGGACGTGGAAGCACGTGTTTATACAGGTGGGGCGAATATCACTGGGGCACAATTGATACAAGGGGAAGGTAAGTAAATACAATACATGTCGGGTCTCCGCAACTCCATCAGGTAACGACATGGTGGTCATCTCCCTCCAATAAACACACTCGTTCGAATATCGCGCACCTGTTCACCGGCAGATGTTTTCAACTTCACTGTTCTTACTAGTCCATCTGATTCCGTTTGGCTTTCTATGACTACACCCAGTGGCCAGTTGTTGCGTTGTAGCTTTTCGTCGGCCATAAGAACAACGTCCCCAAACTTCAGTGACCGTTCTCTATGCAACCACTTCTATCGAGCTTGAATGGTTGGCAAGTACTCCCTTGTCCAACGCTCTCAAAACACCCCTGCCAGGTAGTTCGAATGCTTTCAACCCGAGGTATAGCAGCCACTGATAGTTTTGGCATATCCAGAACATGGACCTCAATAGCAGAAGGTCACTCCCGGAGGGTTAGTGCAGTCCTTGCAGGTCATCGCTGGGGACGGGTACAAGCGGTCGGTTGTTAAGTATCCTTTCGGCCTCTACCAGAAATGTGCTCAAAGTTTCATTATCCGGTGCCTGTTTTTCACATAATGCCGTCAATATTTTTTGCACCGACCGTATAAGCCTTTCCCAAATCACATAACGCCGTCAATATTTTTCGCACCGACCGTATAAGCCGTTCCCTAACTCCTCCGTCGGTGACTGCTGTAAGGTGGGTTGAAGTGCCATTGGGTTCCAGGTGGCGACAGTCGGTCTTGCAGGGCTCGTTTGTCTAACCGCATCAACCATGTGCCATTGGGTTCCAGATGGCGACAGTCGGTCTTGCAGGGCGCGTTTGTCTAACCGCATAATGGCGACAGTCGGTCTTCCAGGGCGCGTTTGTCTAACCGCATCAACCAGTCGCTCAACTCCTTTTGTGCACCGACGAAATTGGACCCGTTGTCGGAGAATATGGATTACCTCGTCTACCAACGAATCTCTGCCAGGCCATAAGAAAGGAGTCGGTCGACACACTGTGCACAGTCTCTATATGCGAAGCTCGCGACTGCAGGCATGTCATCAGGCATCTGTACCGTTTCTCCATAGACGTCTTTCGTTTCACCCATAGTGGCCCGAAGTAGTCCACCCCAGTT